GCTTTTGTTGTAGAGATACTTGAAGTTTTGGATTTCCTATGACTCTCATACACAGAAGTTGGTAATCTTCTATTATCGATTGTCCATGTCTTAATCTATTTAAAAGCTCCAAATATCTTATGTCTTCGGTTCGCATTTGCTGAGTTAATTCAATAACGCAGTTTATTTCAGACATAAGCTTCTGTGCAGACAACATATCTATCTGACGTTCTGTAATTTGTTGTTTTGATGCGTAGCTATAGTAGAGAGGCTTGTCCAAAACAGGAGAATATTGAAGGTAGTCGCCAAAGAAAATGACGTTGACACCACCAAAAGGTATCTCAGAATTTACGTGCTTGGCTGTTTTCACTATTCGATTGAGACGAGCTAATAGACTAAGTCCTACCATACTCATCTCATCGATTATCAAGTACTTCACATGACGCCATTCATTTTCCAATTTCGTATCGCCAGGTCTAAATGTACGGGTTTGTTTCTTTTTACTGTTTTTGCGACTTTCACCTAAAAATGAATGGATAGTTAATCCGTCAATTTCAGCTGCTGCTATAGACGTTGGCGCCAGTTTACGCAACATCTTGCTCCGCTTGGTTACTTGGAAATACTTGATAATTGCACGAATCAACTGAGACTTTCCAGTACCACCGCAACCAGGTATGCACATTAATAATTGATTATCGATAGTACCTAAATATCAAGACTAACTAAACCTTACAACAACAAAATCAAGATAACATGCCGGTATAAGCATAATGTTCACCATCTAAGTGGCTAGTAACAATTATAAAAGCATATTTTTGTTGTATATTTATCGTAAATCGTTTGACGATATCCTGTTTTGTGGGAAATAAAATCGCATTGGTTGCAGTCACAGACGGGACTGTTGCAACTTTCGTTTTAATTGGGCTTGTTGGAATTTCAGTACCTACGATTTCAATCTGTGTTTCATCATCTCGTGCTTCTAGAGTATCTTCACCTGAAATTAAATAGTTTCTTGCTTCATCTCGTCGGGCTTCAGTATCACGTTTCCATTCTTTAATCATGGTCGTATGATGCTCGCGAGCTACGACAAATGTGTGGACGTCGTGTATGGCACCATAATTATTTTCGCCCAGAGAACGTGTACGGCCTAAATCAAACTAAATATTTTCGAAATATGGCCGTAATTAACTCACCATTCAGTAGTGCAAATCTATCTGTATTATCAATTGCTTGTAATGCATCATAAACATAGCGTTGTTCGTGAGTAACCGTCAATGCAGAGTAAGCGTTCGTGGTGGTCTCGTTTACGATGGAGAGCATTTGCAAAAGTTGTTCCGGATCATCTTCGTCTGCACTTTCATCACCTTCGTAGTAGTTAGGCATCAAAATAGGATCAATACTGTTTTCATTTTGGGCTTCTAAAAGAACTTGATGAAGGTGCTCATCTCGATCGTACTTACATTCATGCAAAAGTTGTATATTTTCTATAATTTTGAGTGAACTAGAAGAGATCAATGGTTTTCGAACTTCCAGTGCCTCAGACCATGTCTGATTTAGTGCACAAAGGTCGTAGACTGATCTCCATAGTATGAATAAAGCTAACAATGCACGACAATAACGCTCGTCTGTTTCTTCTCGTTCGCGATGGAGTATTGGAGGACCAAGCAGAACTGGTACCACTGAAGTGGTACGTTTAATGATGATATGTGATGATGATTGTGGATGGACACTTTCAAATGTATGTCGTTCGTTTATTTTTGTTCCTTCGGTATATAATCGTTCATCTTCATGCCCATTTTCATTCTCTAGTAAACGGCGGTCTGATTTGTCAATAACCTTCTTGTGAAAATGACTGATAAAATCATATAAGCATAATGCACTTAGATCTTTTGATCAATGCTAATAGTTCAGACGAGTGTTTATCATGACATACCCGTCACCGCTTTTGGTTTTTGCCCAGTCAGACAAGATTTTGGGAAAACGCATTTAAACGCCCTGAAATCAGCATTTTTTAGCGTTTTACGGCGTGTTTTTCAAAGTGGGCGTGAAAACGCGGGTAACTTTGTTTTTCAAAGCGCGAAAACGGACAAATATTCTCTTTCTATTATATCTGGCCTCATAAACGCTTGAAGTGGTCATATTAATAGCGTGTAAACGCCCATTTCTTCCGATGTGCGTTTCAATGATTCAAAATATCAAGTGCTAGACGTTTTTTTGTAGAAATTCTACTGGCGTATACAGAGCGCTAAATAGTTGACGTCAACACGTCCATAAATCGAACAGTTCTAGCGTTTAAATGTATGATCAATCATTCCGTTTTTTTTTTCTTTAATTATGGCGTTTTAACGCTGAAATTAGACGTTTTTAAGAGTTTTCAACATAAAAATTCTTAGATCAATTCTTTCTCAAAATTTTATTGTATTTACACGGCCATGAAACCATACCACGAGTTTTTAAGCGCATGTATACGTAACAAATTAATAGATTCTTTGCGTTTAAACAAGTGTGGAGAAAAACGCTCTGTTGACAATAAAATTTTATAACTTTCATCGTTATAACGCACACATTTTTTATCAATCCTCTATTTTTAATCATTTAAACGGCTTAGATGCTAAATCTTTCGACAGTTTCACGCTGTGTTTATAACTACATGTTAAAACTATTCAAAGCTCAATATTTTATGCGTGTTCTATAAATATTTTTTCTCACATAACTAGAATGCAGACTGATGTTTCATATAAAAATCTTGGAGGCTGATTTTGTTTAAAGAGCGAAAGCGAAAGAGATGTAATAAGAAATAAATGTTTTGGAAAAGAAAGAATAGTAGGAAGAAAACGTTGTTGGTATTTCTAAAAATGCAGAAAATATGCATCTCAGCAAAAACATATACAAAGTGGTGTTTATTTAAGTGCCCTCTACTGTGTTTGGAAATTGAAAAAAAATGAAAAATATCTTGTTTACTATAAGCAAGTTTTACAATAGTATCGTCGATAGGAATTGTTACCATATTGGGTGGATGTGATAGTTGTCCGCAGAATATAAACGGTTTTACTACAGTTTTTTTTGAATGTGAAAGAATCTCGTTGATCGATGGATACTGGGTGGAGTGTGGGTGGGTGTGGCTGTGGGTGTGTGAGTTGTGGTTGTAGATGTGTAGCATTGTACTGCCCTACACCCACACCCCACCCACACCCTTATATATTGTATACAGCAAATGAACATATTACTAATAACTAGCGAGAGCCCGTGCATATTGCACGGCTGGTTTCTCCTTTAACGTATGACTTCACACGTTTACTTTTTCATCCGATAACAGACATACAGATACACGATATTACGTATACAGATCAAAGCCCTCTCGCCTCATACTCTTACACCCCTGGACAAAAGTCTTTCCCCACACCTCCTTTTTCAGCAAGGCTTTCTCTACTATTATGAGGACAAAATATGGTGTCGTGCGGGCTATATAAAAGAGAACCCGAAAAATCCCTAATCGGTCTGAACAACACGATGTTTCGTCCTTATAATAGTAGAGAACATCTTGTCGAAAAAAGAGATGCTGAGAAAGACTTTTGCTCAGGAGTGTATATCGTCCATATTTTTATAGTCCATGTAGCCTTATTTCCTTATAGCCTTATATCCCTTGTACCTCTTGTACCCATGTCGCTTTATTCTCTTACACCCTTCAGAACCTTTGACTACCCTATAGGACGGTCCTTGAGGATCCATGGATGCCCTCATATAATATTCTTTAAGGATCTATGGATACCCCTATATAATAGTTCTTACGGGGCCTATGGGTATCTCCATAAGATACCCTTGAAGAACTATGGGTACCCTCATATAATAGCCAATGAGGATCTCTGGGTACCTCCATAAGATAGCCTATGAGTGTCTATGGGTACCTCCATATAATAGCCCTTGAGGACCTATGAGTACCTCCGTAGGATCGTCACGAGGACCCATGAGTACCTCCATATAATAGCCCATGAAGACCTATGAGTAGCTCTACATAATAGCCCATGAAGTATGGATAACTCTACATAATAGCCTATGAGGACCTATGGATACCTCCACATTATAGCTCATGAGGATGTATAAGTACTTCTATATAATAGCCCTCGAGAACCTATGGATACCTCTACATAACGACCATTGAGGATCTATGAGTACCTCCATAGGATAGCCCACGAGGACCTATGGGCACCTCCATATAACAGCCCATGAGGGCCTGTGGGTATCTCCATATAATAGCCGATGAGGACTTATGGGTAACTCCATATAGCAGCCCATGAGGACTTATGAGTACTTCTATATAATAGCTTTTGAGAACTTATGGATACCTTTATATAATAGCCCTTGAGGACCTATGAGTACCTCCATAGGAGAGTTCATGAGAATCTAAGGGTGCCTTCATAGCATAGCCTATGAGGACCTATAGATATCTCCACATAACAGCCCTTGAGGACCTATGCGTATCTTCACATAATAGCCCTTGGCGCCTTTCTTTATAGCCTTATATGACCTTTGATCTTTAACCTTTGACCCGGTGCAGAGAAACACACAGACACACACATTGAACATTATATATATAGGTAGACAATATGGTAGTATCACAGAGAACAATAAGAATGTTTTTTATCGAAGTGATGTAGCATGATATATGTTTAACAATATCAGCGTCTAGTAAAGACATAATCACAAATCTAGGTGAAGAATATTCCCTCATTATATCTTACAATGTACAAAGAATATAAATAATGCACATTGTTTAACTAAGTTCAGCCTCAGCGTTTTGCACTCATTATTATCACGATAGGCTATCCGAATAGACCAATACATTAACAATCACTATATCGGATATACTCAAATTTCATCAGTACTTTCTTAATTATAAACATAAAATGTTTCAATCAAAGTGAAAACGTATAACATGTTTTGTAGAAGCTGTTCTGAACATCCCCAAAACGGAATCACTATCTCTCAAATAAACACAAACTGGCGACATCACTCCAAATTATATTAATCTATTCAGTGCTTCTTATACAATTTTCTTTACTAGTTTCAATCAAAAACAAAACACATCCAGCTCATATCCTAATACATATAACAGACTCTCTTTCACAGAACCGTTTCCATTTTCAGATATACGAAACAAAACTATTAACCATATCACTTCACTATTACTACTCATAAAAATCGCTACCATCACAATGATAAATACTAAGAAATTACAGATATCCCGTTACCGTATATTTGAATCGTGGCACTTAGTTGTACACCGTCATACAATATATCGCTAACATCAACTGATTAGTTGTACATCATTTGCTGTTGACTTTCCTATTTTCCAAATTATAATATTTCTTTTTCATCCTTAAATTCAAGACCTGTACCATATCAAAGGTATTTCACAGTGTATTTTACAAACTGATATAATATTTATTTATCTTTAGATCGATTTCAAGATCAAGTACAACGTGAAAGGTATCTAACCATGCATTTTAGAAACTAATATAATAATTTTTCAATTATATTCAGATCGAATTTAAGATCGAATACAATGTTGAAGGTATGTAATAATCTATTTTAGAAACTAATCTTATATTTATCTATTTATATTTAGATCGAATTTTAAGATCAATTACATTGTTGAAGGCATGTAACCATGTATTTTAGAAACTAATATAATGCTTATTTATTTATCTTTAGATCGAATTTGAGATCGAGTGCAATGTTCAAGGTATGTAATAATGTATTTTAGCAACGAATATTTTATTTATTTATTTCTATTTAGATCAATTTTTGAGATCAAGTGCACTGTTGAATGTATGTAATAATATATTTTCGAAAGTAATATTATATTTATTTATTAATCTTTAGATCGAATTCGATATGAAGTACAATGTTGAAGGTATGTAATAATATATTTTCGAAAGTAATATTATATTTATTTATTTATATTTATATCGGATTCGAGATGAAGTACAATGATAAAGGTATGTAACCATGTATTTTAGAAACTAATACAATATTTTTTTATTTATCTTTAGATCGTATT